AATTTGATTCAACCACAATTGATTTCTGTGGTTTCAAATCATCATGACGAAACCGAACATCATCTGTACTGATTCGTTTCATTACGTTAACTTCAACATAGACAATACTGCTCATACCATGCACTATTATATGGTATTAATAATTAACCTAGAGGTAAATCCATTACGCTCAATGAAAGAGAAAACTAGTGTTCAAACTTATATCAATAAATTTAAAGCAAACAACTCATAATTCCAAATAATAATAATACTTTCATAAAATTAAGCACAGTTACTGTCAAAAAAGTGAAAACTGATTTGAAGATACTGAAGACTAACTGTTATCAGCATTAAAACTAGCGAATATGTCAGCAACAGAGCGTGATTTCCTTTTTGCCTGGGAAAATATTTCTGGCCGGTCGGGGATATTACCACTCAATGATTCAACAGTACATGCATGCGAAGTTGATGGGTGGTTGACAAGTGTCTTCGACAATAAAGCCTTCTAGAAGAGAAAGAAATGGAATTTATCTTTAGGATAGCGAAGCAAAAAACGAGAAGTAACTAAAAAAGATAAATAAACTAAAATAAAGAAAATGAACTTCATGGGGAGCTCCTGCAAGCTCCTGCAAGATGATCGTCATAGCAAAAACACTACTTCTTAGATAAGTAATAGATAAAATTCAAGAAGTTGCACTTCGAAAATCAAAAAGCCTAAAGATTTCAAAAACTACCCCTCCTTTTTCTTCTTTATGACTTTTGCTGCAGGAGGGTGACCCACCTTTCAGAAATATTAACGGATATCCACAACTAAAAATTTACTAAAATCTCTTCATATTTATCCTTTCTTAACAAAATATCTTTTCCTCAACAAAGCTATCAGTAAAAAAAGGAAAAAAGAAGCTATCATATAAATTTTTTGTATTTCATTTCCACTCAATGATACACATAATATTAGTATTATCAAAAAAATCTATTGAGCATAAATCTACCGTGAAGGAGGAAGAAATCAATTCATCATAAAATCATCTACCGAATCTACCGATAAAATCATCTAAAAAAAATAGAAAAAATTAAGGCGTCAAAACAAGACAAACATGAAAAAAACACCTGCAAATCAATACGGTTTGCTGTATGCGCCATTCCACTTGATATACCTATAATCATTGGTTGATGGGGACGAAAAAGTGTTGGTGCAACTGGTGTTTCCGGTGACTCCATTTATTTCTCGTTCTGTAGTAAACCAAGAGAGAAAAAAATAGATCTAAATTAGTGACAAACTAAATTAACTAAATCAAATATATCAATACAGTTAAGATCACCAACATGAATTTTACATTTACGCCTAAAAAAAGCTCCATTCTCCAAAATCCTTTCAAGTGCACAAATATTTGTCAACAGGATTTCAGTCATAAATTCGCCAACAATTCTTTTCTCAAAAATTTCACTTTAGTAAATAGATGAAACGGACAGTATGAGGAATTCATAGATCCTAGATTGGGTAAATAAAAGTTTACATAGTGGAATACCTAGAGAGAATGGCTGAAACTATTTGTACAGAATGCATGAGAGAGTTTAAAGTACTCTTTTTTTCCTATTCATTCTATTAATTTTTACTCACAAACACCAACTCTTCACGTACCTGCGTAACATTTCTGCTCTTAACGAAGTCAAAAGAATTGAAAATTTTTGGCAAGAAAGGAAATGACCAAGGAACTTTATGATAACAAAAGAAAGCTATTGATCCCCGTAGTGCTAACGATCAGAGAATCGCGGGAACTGACAATTTACAGCTGTCAACAACGAAATGGGAAACTGGAGAATGTCTGGGTAGAGACAGTATTGATCTCTGCTGTATCGTTGACTTCTCGTTTCAGAACTCTGAATTACAGCATGAAGCACAAAAGCATAGCATTTATATGCACGCAACCTAATATAGGGAATCCCACCGGTTAAGGATGAAGCGGCGTAAAGTCGGGCGTTGTTGTGTCCATTGGGAGACAGATTCACAGACTTGGTATATGATAGACTGGGCATGAGAGTATGATTATATCGTTTTGAAGAACATCTTCTGTTTTGATACTTCAATGGTTATGCTGAGGAATATGGAATCCCAAAATTATCAGATTATCTGATCTGATCATCTAATTTGATTGCTATAGAAGTATCAGAAAAAGAATGTATATGGTTTGGTGGAGAATGATTTAGTCATTAATTAATTTTGTGTCCAAACTGTCCATCTATCAGTAATTTGCATACCTTTCTTTATTTTCAGTTTGAAAGTGTTAATGAAATGATGCAATTTATGTTATTGTTTAGCAGACAGGGAAAGCTACGATTGCAAAAATGGTATGTGGCGTATCAGGATAAGGTGGGTGATAAATATGTGATGAGTTTGGCGATTATATATTTAAGTGATAAACAATGATGGTAACACCATATAAGGAGATATACAGTAAGACTAGGCACTTGGCATATGATTCTGTTATTTGGTAAGATTGATGATACACGGTCAGATCACTGTTATGTGATATGATTATTGGTAGTCTATGATAAGCTTTGGTGGTATCTGCTAAAACTAGTGGTATGTTTTTAGGATGATGAGTTTAGGTCAGTGACATTTGACAAACATGATGTACAGTTTATGACAAGATTTGTTATACTTGTTGCGGTGAATGCATAAAATCAGTGTATGTGATAAGGTAAGTGATATACCAAATGTGTGATTTTTAGTCAATTGTTTTGTTTATAGGCAGTTTTCGCATAAAAGCAAAGTATTTTGTTCACCTAATCTGATACCGCAGCTGTCCGAATATTTAGTGCATTGCATCTTCTGATCTAAAAAAGAAAATGACTAAGCCCAAAAGAGAGCTATTCAATTGCGGGGGAAAAAAGTTTTGGAATGTGCTTTGTTGATTAAACGAGTTATAATGCTAGTTATTTACAGGTGAAGAAAAAAATTACGCGAGAATTAGTTACGACAATTTTGGCTCGGAAGCCTAAAATGTGTGCTTTTCTAGAATATAAGGATCTTAAAATTGTCTACAAAAGGTTAGGAACGGTAATATTAATTGCAGTAAATCAATCTTACCGTATTTATTAGAAGTAATTCAATAAGTTAGAGAGCAGCTTAAATGGTGTTCATTTGTGTTCATCTTTTACAGTGAGTGACTCTTTTCAACCCTTTTTTTACTGTTACTTCCTCACTGCAACATTAGGAATAAAGTTATGGATTCATTTTCTATTAATTTTACTACCTATTTGGAAAGCATTTTGGTTTTGAGATCATTTTGAAGCTCTGGAATTCTCAATCTTCTTAAGGTACGCATCGCTATATTTCTGTTGTGCAGTTGAACAAACAGACAACGAATTGCTATGCCTAGAAATTATACATCGATTTGTTGAACTGCTGGATAAGTATTTTGGCAGTGTAAGTTCCTGTTATCTTTATCCATTTCTTTCACTCTTCATTTTTTCCATAATTCATTACTGACTGTAATTCATCCATAAAAGTTTGCACAATAAAACGCTAACTGCGGTATAAAGATGGAAACAAAATAATGAAGAATAAAATAAATATTAAACTCTTAAACCATGTCATTCTTAGTCAAATGTCATGATCATGTAATCTTAGTTGAAGATTGTAATACTGTGAGATTCTGTTTTTTATATTTTCATGTTTCTCAAAAACATAACCCGCTGAAATTTTATACTAAAGATTTTTGTAATATTAGATTAAGTTTTGCAGGTTTGCGAATTAGATATTATTTTCAATTTCGAGAAGGCGTATTTTATATTGGATGAATTTTTGTTGGCAGGCGAAATACAGGAAACAAGTAAAAAGCAGGTTCTGAAGGCAATCGCAGCTCAAGATCTCATTCAGGAGGTTTGCAGCACTTTTCTGCAGCAAATTTATATGTTGATTACTTCATCGCTAGCAACTGTTTCTGTTTCTGTGGAAAAGAGATCGATGACCAATGTCGGATATCTCGAATAGTGACACTAGTGCTGATTCTCATTTCATTTTGCTTCGGCAACGAAAACTTTTATTTGTTATCTACTTTAAGCAAACACACTTTGATGGTTGATAATTTAATACGGTTAATCAAGGGCCTTGACGTCTTGTAACATGATCAACTTGCAGGTCATTTTCGGATTGTTTCGACATACGCTTATCTTTTCAAAATATCTCAATTTTAGGAAGAAACGCCGCAGGGATTCTTTGAGGACCATGGCCTTGGTTAAGCGAAGTATCACTTCTATCATGTTTACTTTCACTGAATTGATACGTCTGTTTTGCAGTTTATTTTTAGGGCAGTCTACATTGAGTGATTTTTTTTACGTCATTCCTTCGAAATCTTTGTAATTACTGTGATGTTGTCATTGTGAAAGGGCCGAATATTATCGTTTATTTTGATTATATTATTTCACGCAGTAGAGTAGCGGAAATAGACGAGGAAACCTTACAGATTTATTTGTCAAATTAGGTAACAATGAATAAACTGACCAAAAGCACGAGGCCATTCTTGCATATCCAATGTAAGGATAATGCCAGATGGGTGACATCATGAATATCGTATTAGAAACTAGGGAGTAATCTTACTGACTGTGCTCATGAGATTTTTAGTTTGAAATGAAACTGTTTGAGTGTTTTTACTTTGCAAATTTCTATCAAAAAATTGATTTCTACTTTGTTTCACCCGCTCTTTCTACAAATTTATTATCTCAATAAATTTTCATTTTGTACAATGAATTCACAATTATATTACAATGTCTACATGCGTTAATTAATTTATCCTTTCTGAAATGGATTAGTTCGCGCTATCGATACATTAAAACTTTCTAAAATAAACTTAGCATCTTTTACATAATTATTCTGTAACGTTGCTTTCGTTTTGATGGAAACTATACGTTTATTAAATATTAAAAGCTAACAAGCTTAGGAGGAAGTAATCGATGTTTTTTAGCATATTGAAAAGTGAAGCTGAGACCATGAAATTTAATAATATAGATTAATGGTGATGCTAATTATTGGTGATCGAGTTGAAGTTGGTGGTGATCGAGGGACGATAAGCTATATTGGTACTATTGAGGGATATGATGGAGAATGGATTGGTATTGACTGGGACAATCCTGAACGAGGGAAGCATGATGGTTCTGTGAAAGGAAGACGATATTTTCAAGCAAAGTTTGTTGCTTCCTCAAATTTAAATCTAATCGTTCCCTATATCCCTAATCATTGAGTACTTATATTGATTAGAAATAATAATTTGAGCTTCTGTTCTTTATATATTCATTATTCGGACGTCAAGATCCTATCCTTGTAAATGTAAAATAGAAAAAAGAGAGACTGAGCAGCAGTAGTGATAAGAAAGAGATGTATCCGAGAAAATTTTACAGTTCTGCGAAGAGTGGTTCATTTATTCGATCCAACGCAATTAACGAAGGGAAAAATGTGTTAGAAGAAATGACCAACAAATATATCAATTACAAGCAATACGATACAGTTAAATTTGGATCGAAGAATGTGGATCTTGTGAACATGGCGAAAATATACGGAAGGCAGAGGTTTGTTTTGATATTGAACTAAATAGTCTCTAAATGAGGATAAAAAAATAAGGTAACCTTGATACAAATATCAGAAATAGTCTGTAAAGAAGACAGTGATTATAGGTGGAGCTATTAATTATGCTTTTTCCAAAAAGTTCGTCTGTGGTCATATCCTGTTTTCGTTGCAATACTATTGCATTGAGTGGCGAGATGGGTGGTTCTCATAAATAAGGTTTAGCTGAAAATGGATCCTAGTAGAATATACAGATTATTTTCTTTTAACATTTTTCAGCAATCTATGGGAATTACGAGTTGTAGCATTAGATAACATGAAAGTCTCAAAAGCTCCACCTACCAGTTGCACACCTTTCATGTATTGCACTGAACTTAATCTCTATAACAATTTATTATCACGGTGGTGCAATTTGTTGGATATTCTGCGCTTCTTTCCCTCATTGCGCTCTCTTATTGCAAGGTTCTTTTTTGTTATATCCAGTACATGGTTACAACATTTTCTTGTTTTTCTCTTATTGCTACAATAATAGTAATTCTTTAGTTTGCTTCCAAATCAATAATTTGTCCCCAGAATTCCACATCTTCGGATTAGTATTTTAGCATTAATTAGTGTAAGGAGTCAACTCTTTGATATTGCGGTTGATAGAAAACATATCCCGGAACATACATAGCAATACTGGAATGTGAGATGCACTCAAATGCAGCAAGTTATATCATTTATTAGTGGAATAATAGTCGGAAACTGTAATTTGAAATATCGTGGCATGTAATGATATCAGAATTTAACAGAAAATATTTCAAGTATTCTATGACTTCACTAAAATTATTTCTATCGAGGATAATGATATATCCATTATTTGGGTGTAATCAGAGAATTATATATTTATATATAGCTGATTATAATTTTTAGCCACAACTATATGGAGAAAGAAATGAAATCAGTCGTTGATGAACAAATAGTGTCAGCTCCAATCAATACTTTAGCCCTTGGAGAATGTCGTATTGATGGAAGCACGGTACTATTTCTGTTAGATTAAAGCTTCTTATTAAGACATCTGTCATTAATGTTTTCAGTGGTCACATTATTCGTAAATGGACAATAGCTGTTTTCTATGAATATATTTTCAAGTCTGTATGTTACAAACAGTGATATATTAATCTGTTAATAAGTCATTAAGGATAACATTTCTGAAGATCTATTAATCTATTAATTTCATATAAAAACATAGTTATTTTTAGGCCCAACGGATTATGCATTTCTTCCCTCATGTACGAGAAATTCATTTGGATCGAAATGACTTGAAATACTTCGATCCAGGAGAATATGGTAATAGTTTAGAAAGCATTGATTTAGAGGGAAATCCAATCGGCAGTTTCGCTAGTCTTCATGTTTTGTCGACTTTACCGAAGTAAGTATTTATCGTCATAACCATATCTCTGTGATCAGTGATTCCTAACATTTTTGAAATTTTGTTATTATTAATTTTAGTCTTCGAAAGCTTAGTTTGGTTAGTTGTGGTCTCCGTCATATCTACCTTCCAGATGGCGTTGGATTCAGTTCATTGTCTTCACTCAACATTAAAGGCAATCCTATAAAAGATGTGAGTCTGTGAAACAATTTTTCCTTCAGAAAAATTTTAAAACTTTTACGTCATTAAATATTTGATGAAAGAGATATGGAATAAGGGGAAATAGACTTTTATCAGGAAATTATCTTGGTGAGTTCTGCTTTCCAGGGGCGGTGTTTTTTAAGGTTTCTAACTATTAAAATGTGTGGAGAAAATTAACTGCAGTTTCGGATCAATAACTGAATATGTTTGATTTTTTGGTTTCTCATGTTTTATGAAACCTCAGACAGTAGCATTTCATTAATTTTTATATGTCAGTAAATTCTGGGACTAATGGCACAAATTTCTGTTTTCAGAAGCAGTGGATTTTGGAATTAGCCAAACTCCCAAATTTGGAAAGATTGTGTTATTCTTGTTCTGGTGATGATAATGCTGATTCTGCAATTGATTTTCGTGATATCATTATTGCTAGCATACCTCAGCTCAAATTCTTGGGTAATTCGGAAATAAGTTCCATTGAAAGGCTTTCTGCTGAAATGCGTTTTATCAATAAATTCGGTGCATCTCCGGTGACAGAAGAGAATCGTGCTATTGTGGAAAGGTTAAAAAATTGAAAAGATATTATGTTGATACAATAATAAATGCTAGATAAAATTTCTTTCGAATAGACAGAAATACAATGATCAGAAAAGAAAATGTTTGCATAGTTAGAAAGGAAAATGTTTGCATACTGTTATTGGTGTTTTTGAATTGAGCTTAACACCCTGTTTTATTTCTAATATAAACATTAATAAAAAAAAATCATGAATATTAAACAATAATCTTGTGTTTTTTATATAGATTAATCAAAACACATGGTGACCCAAATGGTTTTCCGTTCGTGCCTAGTGGTGGAATGGGTTTATTGAAATTAAGGTTATCGTATGAAGGAAAAGTCATGGAACGTTCACTTCCTGGAACAGTTACTGTGCAAAAGTTAATCGGTATTATAAGTCGACTTTTTCATTTGGATGCCAGAAAGGTAAGTTTCCTTATAACAATACTTAGATAGCAAGGGTAGGAAACTTTACTCAAATGACGTGAATTGAGAAGTTAATGTTATCTTCTTTGCGGACGTTGCTTTACAGAATAACTGCATATTTATATTTTCCTGTATTACTAGTAAGGAAAGTTTGTGAGACCGGTCATTCAATACATCATTTCATTGCCGTTTAAGAATTAATGTGAACTCATCTTTCATGTGCAGAGGAGTTAAAATGGATAGTTCAATTATAATCTTTTATGTTATCAGTTACAGTTGCCAAAATTTTACAGATTTCACTTCAAACTCGTGACTATCGCGGTTTTATAATGAATTTGGATAAACCGTCACGATCATTGGATTTTTATTCATTGTCTGATGAGGATATTATTTATATCATGGTTGTGTGATGTCGTCTTATATTGCCTTAGTTAATTAAAATTACTTGTACCAATTCTAATTTAAGGCTATAATCCGTCAATGTGATAGAGGAGTGGTCATATCTTGAAACATTTTTTTGAAGTTATTCTTTAGTCATTACTTAATGCGAAAAAGAAGATATTCTGTTAACTTATTTGTAAATTTATGCCAATTAAATACACCATTTCTGTAATGGGTTGTGAATATTTGAATTGCATGGTAGAATTAAATGTTGATCTTAGACACTGCCTAATATCATAAATCTTTATACGTCGTTTTCGTTTGCGCCGTATTACTGAATAAAAGTTGTTTTGTACATCTCCTATTTTTATTCTTTGTTGGGTATAAGCCAATGGAAATATAAATAATAGATTTGAAGTTATATTTCAGTTTTTATTCAAGCTTCGATTAATCTTAATTTTTGTTTCATGATGGATCACTCAACGAGTCGAAGGAAAATTTTCGCTTTTGTTATTGAGGCTGGTAAGTAATTCCATGTGATTTCTTCATTTACAGTAATTTCTCTGAGATTAGTCGGTATGCTGTCATGCATGTTCATTTCCCATGAAATCCAATGGTGGCGTAAGATATGATAAAGTAATGATATCTAAAAGAGTGTTGAAGTAAGAACGATTATCGAAATTTAAGGATCAAAATTGACCCACAAAAAAATGTGTATGTATATATGCTTGTTTGAAGCGCCGATAATGATATTTCTTTATATGGCAAGCGTCTTCATTTCAGGAATCAAATTAGAAGCGAAAAATTCAACGATATGTACTGCTGCAGTTTTAACGTATCGGACATTAAGGAAGAGTAATGCTTCTGAACTGTGTCCTTATGTAAGTTTTGTGTAGTAATCATTCAAGTTAGAATAAATGAAAGGCTAACTCAAATCAAAAAAACTGGTCAATGTCTTTAGCTTCAATATTAAAGAAGAAGAATCATGCCAATGAATTCACTCATACTTACTCCATTTCAGCTTTTAGATTTACTAAAAGTTGAAAAGAATTACTAATTTCGTCTTGAAAAAAGAGATTTAAAAAAAATCCGGTGTATGAAATTTATATTACATATTTTCCTATTACAGACTGTTGCTTCGGCATGTCTTCTGTTGGCGGCTAAAGTAGAAGAAGATGAGATGGTAAAAACAAGAGATGTTGTGAATGTTGCTTACAGGTTACTTGACCCTTATTTCCCACCTTTGACCTTTTCCACTTTTCGATCATGACTTTAGCATGTAAAGCAAAGTTTCGGATATCTTAGCAGTCAACTCTGCTTCCGAACTGTTCTGAACTCATTTTGCTACGTTACAATTAGGCGAAAGTCAAGGGCTTAACTAGATTTGCATTGAGCATACTACATCCCCGTGAACCGATCCTGCAAATCAATGACGAGTCATGGGTATTACGAACGAGCCTTTCACGAATGGAATATGTTGTGCTGCGATTATTGAAATTTCGTTTATCTGTGGAAAATCCTCATAAGGTGGTTTTTCGTTATGCAGTATGCATTAAGGCTAATGATTTAAGGTCATTGAACATCGTTTGTGCTGTTTTTTTTCTTAATAGTAGCTTCTTTTTACAGAGGAAAATGAAAAGTGATATTTTAGCTCTTATTTTTAATGGGATAAAGGAACAAGCAAAAAACAACTGTTTACGATCTATTGAAATGCAAATTAAAAAAGTTAATTTGTCAGTAGCGATTATTATTTACTGATGGAGCAGAAAGAGCTATAATAGGAAATTTTAGTTGTTATATATATCTGTTTGTTTATGTACTCGTTTTGACACTTTTTGACTGGTACTTTGATATTCTAATTTTCAGTATTTACTCCATTATATCTCCTCACTGATGCATTGGTGCCCGCATGAATTTACAAAATTCCACATTGGTACAATTTCATTTATCATATTGCGTGATGCACATGTGGATCCGGATTGGGTACTTTCACATAGCCCACAAACCATCGCAATTGTGTGTCTCGCAGTTGCTCTTCGTGTTGCAAAGGTCAATTTTAGAATTATTATTAGTTAGGAGGTGTTCATCCATTTTGTCTTAAAAACATGGACTAATATGTCAGTTATCCTTTGGTTACTTTATATTTCTAATTTCCACAATCTGTAGTCTCAGTAGAAATTTCCCTATAATTTCGTCGAACGTTAAGAACTGACTACTTTCCGAGATCTTTGTAGGATCTTTTGATTTTAAATGTTATTTCCGCTAGGATCAGTTTTATCACAATTTATTTTTAACAATTTTAAGGTTTCAATTGGTGTTCGTTGGTATTCTGTCTTCTACTCATCAATGACGAGATCAAAATTACGACGTCTGGAAGATGAATTGGTGACGTTAGTGTTGAAGCGATAAGTAGGCTATTCCGGAACATACCTTCTTGACCCAGAATACCCCACTTGTTAGAATTTTATTGTTAACCCTCACTCTATTTTTGTAGTGTGCCTCCGTATTTGTCCTACGAAATTCAAAGGACAATATCAATATTTGTCTATCCTATTTTATTTAATAACTTCCAAGCTTGCTCCAGGAGAAGGTATTTTTACTCAGTTATTCTTCTGTGACTTTTCCAGTCATTTTCAATTAATGAAGATGTAGTAAGTCACATTTATATTCTGAAAGCTTTAAACTTATTTAATATAGTTTTCACTTAAAGTACTTTTTTTAAGTACTTTGTTTCTCACAATTTCAAAGTGGGTATAAGAACGTTTTATCGAATACATTTCGTTCATAAGAATTTTGTTGTTCATTCATCTGATTTTTTGTTTTTATATTCCAATATATTAAAATGTCTCACGGTTATGCACATATATACTAAGTTAAATAATGTCGTCAGTACACAGTACATTTATAGCTGTTTTCGTGAACTTGAAATATACAAGGACTTTCGACGGTTATTAATGTTCTGTATTTGAAAATTATCTTATTCTTTAATTATGTTATCAATAACAATTAAGTCATATTTTAGCAGGACAGTTACAATTTTAACAAAAAAAAATTGAATTTTAATTAGCATTACAAAAGAAGTAGGAAAGTAGAGTTGTAGTTATGGAACAGTTTCACATACACTTTTCACCAAACAAGAGAGGGAAATTTTGTTTCTCACAATTTAAAAGTGGATATTTGCAACTGTGCATAATGTAAATTGTTGCAGTGTAACGAGATTGACGACTATGAATTCTATTTTAGATTTACGAAAACATTAATGATTTAGTGAACTGCTACATATTGCTATATTCTTTGATTCTCTCTCTCTATCTTCTTGCTCTTATGATAACTTTTTCCTATCACCAATACCAGCAAGACTATCAAAAGACATTGTCGTGTTTGTTTTTGCGTTTCTTTAAAGTTGATTTTTTATATTTTAGAACTTATTTAACAATAATTGCTAGGAATATTGGTAATAATATTAAGCCATGTATCATACTAAAAATAATAACGAGAAATACCGTTTTGAAAAAGATTTGTACAATATATGCTTGAACTGTTGCAAGTACCATAATACCAAGTACTGTTGATAAAGCTCCCTGAAATTTGATAACGAAAAGCATGCTAACATTAATTGTTTCATACGTTGTTTCGATTTTCGAATATTATTGATTTAAGAGTTATACACAGATTTTAATGACATATTTCATTTAATTCCCGTAATTTAATGGATTATTTTAACCCGATATTTTGATTGTATGCATCCTTTGGAAGGTAAGAAGAATAATTTCATTATGAAATGTTGCAAGTACCAAAAATTCCAAAATTTTTTTTCGCTTTTCAATTACTCATTTTCAGAATTACATCTAAGCCGAAATATGCAAAAGTGAAGATGAAAAGTGAAAATCTGATGAAGTGAAAGATCAATGTAATACCATAAAAACAGGCCATCCAATGGTTTCCAATGCACTAATTGCTTTGGTATGCTGATCTCCATTCGATTTCACATATGCATAACCGATATGTGCCGATAAATCGACGGCAAAACCAATGCTCATAATAACTGTTATTATCGACACGCTTTCTAGACGTACACCCCAAAATGTCATGAAACCAATTACACCTGCAATTTTACAAATATGCTTTTTTAAAAGACTATAAATGTTTGATATCCTAGATAGTGCCTTAATAAGATACCAAGAATTCTTCATTGATTCAAATATGTGGGCGTTGAAAAACTTTAATTATGGAAGTGATTTATCCGATCATTCAACTCCATTCAATTAAATCAAACAGATTGAAGCGTTTTATGGAATTTATTAAATATGCAACAAAAATAAATTTTCATTTATCGTATTAAATGGGTTAATTATGATTTTAAAATTTCTTTAATAATATTCCACAATTTTTATGTCACTATTTATTGTAGGAATTAGATGATTTTATAATTTTATCACTTCTTTATTTTTATCAATTTTATCATTTCTTAATAATCCTTCCGATCGTTATCTATTTTGAGTATGAAAAATAAAGTTAGAGAAGAAATTTTGAGCTTCAAATCTTTTCTTTTTAATGCATAAATAAACATCGACTATATCAATATACCAATATCAATGCTGAAGATTGCGAATGCAATAATAAATGCAGCAATCCAACTTGGTATCATGATAAATGATACAACAAGCATAGATGCCATTGCTAGCAGACAATTCCTGATTAATGCCGGTTTCAGTTCAATATACTGCAAACAACAGATGTTTTACATTTTTCCGTAATTATTTTTTGAAATTTAAAATTGAAATATTAACATATATGAATGTTTAATAAGATGGAATGACGAAAAATCAAACCATTAAATCATCTAATCAAATAACGAATATGGCGGAAATTTTTCCGATAAATTTATCTTGTATGTAAATGAGGTTAATTAGTCTCGGAAGTCATTACTCTAACGGATAGTTCTAATAAATGAATTCGAATTTTTCTATGAAAGTTCTTCAAAGTTCTACGATTTAATTTTCATATGATTAGATTTTGTAAAAGACTAAAAGAAAAAGAGTAATATTAAATTATCTTATCAATACCTGATCTGCGAATGGATAGTACTCATGAAAGGTAGTAATATTGAATGTTGCATATTTGGCAGAAATTTCTCGCATCAATATTGCACTTCGCATATGATCGGTTGGTGTTTTGTAATTTCGTAGTCCAAGTTGAAAACGAAAAGCAAAGAGATGATAATAGGACTATAAAAACGAAAAATTCGTTTTTGAAATTTCCGATGAAAATATTGTTAACTTTGTTGGTTATATTTTGAAATGAAAATAATAGTTGAAATTAAAAACTTAGGAAGTAATAAAAAAAATATAACTTTAAAATTATATTTTACTTGCTAAGCGAGCATTTTACTCTCTATTACTAAAGAGGTTAATATCGTTTATATTTTCAACAGAATAAAGAAGTTGCGTTGCAACTTAGATGACAAAAGTTGAATATTTACATTGAGGTAAATGATAGGAATATTAATTAATTACTAATGATTTGATCAATAATGATTATTTTAATTTATCCTCTATAAAGATAAGATTGTGAAATTAACTGCAAATCTATCACGTAAAACCTACATTAAGATCACTTTCATTTTTACCCCAAACCATATCCTTTTCCCACAAACGTCGTCCACCAGCAGTTATTAACCATTCTCGACATCGTTTATACCATTCTTCACTTCTGAAATGAAATAAATTTCTTTTCAGAGATTTTAAAATGAGTATGTTATTAATACAATACTGAAAATATAAATATCTTATCAATACAACGCTAAATATAAATGAATTTCTCTTCGAAGATTTTTCAGATGAGTATTTTATCAATACAATACTGAATATATAAATTGATGTGAAATTAAATTTTATAATTTGTAAATTAAATCCTTGAATTTTTTAAAATCAACTCATTGATAGGAAATCATCAAGGTATTATATAATACTATTATTTTATAAAATATTTTACGTTTCCGGTAATGGAATCTTTGAGAAATCATGATCCTCTTTAAGCTTTCTTTCATAAGCATCAAGCCATATCATTGTTGCATTATGTCGCATAGTATATTCTGTATTTTCGAAATCATTGAGCATATTTTGGAACTTTTTTCTCTCTATGGGATTAAACAGATCAGGTGGTGAATTTACGACAACCTGCATCTGTAAGCCTAAATCATAAACTTTATATTGCCTATCACCTTGAATAGTAGAAATAAGACACAGCCTTATCATTCAATTCTATTTTTGTCACAATAGTTTATAGAGATGACAATTTATAATCTTTCATTATTCCTACATAATATATCATTTTAAAAATTTTAACTTCCGTTTCTTTATGTTTTATTTTGCAACAAAAAGCTCACAAATACAAATTTCAATAATGCACTAAACAATTTTGATATAATAACTGAAATTGAAATCAAATATGAATTTTAATTTTTCCTTAAATTTTTGATCATTTCTGCGAGCAACTTTTCCTACGGTTTTCAACTTAAAGATCCTTTCTTTAATTAGAACAGGTAATTGTTGTAGAAATGAAATGGAATACACCGGCATTCTCTTCTTCGTTCCAATTTAATTAATATTTTCTCTATTAAACGGTCAACAATCAATTATTACATTGATCGATTGTAATCAATAAATCGAACTAAACAAATTATTTAAGATTAATTTAATTGATCAAATACCTTCTTCCCAAAATGATTCATCCATTAATATATAAAATTTGCTGAGATAAAATGAATCCAAAACAAGAAATTTTGGATTGAGACCTTCTTTCAACATTGTGCAACCCAATATTGCTAGTAAGATATAGATGATGTAAAGGAAAATGAAAACTTTTTTGGTAAAACGATCAAGCAAGAATGGACCATAATATTCGCGAAATATTTTTGAAATTATTGTTTCACGATGTTTCGATTTCGGTAATTCCTAAATTGTTAAATTATTCAATTTACTGAAAAAAAAATAACAATTCAAAAAAATATAAATTATTAAATTATTCAATTTGTTAAAAACTATTATCGATTATTAAGTATTTAATTATCGATTATTAAACATTTAATTGCTTAAATATCGATTATTAAGTATTTAATTCCTTAAATTTACAGCCAATTTTTTATATCCTACTAATAATATTAATAAAACTATTTTCTACAAAATATTAATAACATTTAAAATTTGAATTTTAATAAAATTAAAGTCTTCTTTTTTTAATTTTAATTTGCACTACTTAAAATAACATAATTCTAACAATAGCATATAACTTAAATAAATATATTTTTTCAAACAACCTACTTTACTATGCTATTATTATATCTGCATAGCACAAGCAGAAATGTAATGTATATTATAATCTATTCTATTTAGCAGTATCTTTTCTTAAATAATACCGCATAAAAGCACTATCATCATCTATTGTAATCATTATCATAAAATAATTTATAATCAATTCACAAACTTTCTTATCAACTCAAATTGTTATCTCAATTCGACGTTGCTGCTATTCCTTTAACCTTCTAATTAATTAATTAATTATTATTGCAACATTAATGTCTTATATAAAAATGATATAAATTTTGTGATAGTTAAAAGGAAAAAATTCTAACCTTATTTAGGCTTTGTTTAAAATTCATAAATTTATCAAGCATTCCTTGATTTAACGTTATTTTCATATCTTTCATCATTTTTTCATCTTTTTTTATCACAATTTTTGATGATATCATTGAAGAAGTATTAGTTGTTGAAATTGTTGATTTCAATGATATATTACTACCCGTTAGGAATAATTTTTTAAATAAACTATCTGAAATGAAGAAAATTTAAATTAAATGAATTTAATTATTGAATTAAATTAATTAAATGAATTTAATGAATTCAATTTGAATTAAATGAAAATTTAAATGAAATCGTTTTTTGAAAAGAAAAAATAAAGAGAGAGGAAAATTCATCTAACCGGCTAATTCTTGATTGATAATTGGTTTTAATGTTATCGCATGCAATCCTTCACCTTCTCGTTTACCACTATATGCCATAACAGCGGTGAAAAAGGTCAACTGATAAAAATAGGTGAATGTTATACCCATAAATGTGTAGAAACAAAACATTTGTACACTTGGTAGTGTTGTCATACAACCAATACCGAAGGTTAACTGGAAAAACCAAATGATAAATTTATCGTTATTTGATAAATTAATCGTGATATTTGCACTTAATTGATAAATACATAAATATAACAGGATTTTTTATTACCTTTATTTTGTTTAAATTATTTGATTATTTGATAAATTATAATTTCTAATAATATCACACAATTAATATGTTTGCATATTAATTACAACAATGCATTTGAATCGTCTGAATCATTAAAGAATTCTGTTTATTATCAGAATATCATTTTGTTCGTAACATGATAGTAAATACTTGCAAATATTCACTATTTGCATAATCAATATCAATAGTGTTATCAGAGATAAAAGAAATGAATAATACCATATCAGTAATTGTTGTTATTGATATTGCAACTGCTGCTTCGGCAAGTGTTTCGGATAAGCGATATGAAACATCTTGCTCAATATTAGTTCGATGCCAAGCAGCGCTCATTATGAACATATCATCCACACCAATACCTTTCGTAATTATTGATAAATAATTTATATTTTTGCAATTAAACTAATTATCAAACCTTTTTACCAATTTGTTGTTTCAAGAGAATTTCAGATTGACAAAACTATGTTCAATTCCTTAAAATTAAAATATATCGTTCTGCTTCTCTAATTGACCTTTCTTTCTATATTATTGACCTTTCTTTGTGTCTATTCGTCAAACTAGGTTGATAATTGAGCACCTATCCTTATCATTGCAGTGATTACTACATCACTTTCTAAAATTATTAAAATTTTTTCATTCATATTTTTTCCCTAATAAAATATATAATTTCAATATTTAAAATGTTTTAGAAAAAAATAAACAAATTTTAATATTTTCTTCGCAATTTCATTAGCAAATACTAATGTCAAAAACTTTTCAAATTTTTGTTTAAATAAAATTAACTAATTAAATTTTCAAATAATTAAAGTAAACTTACAAAACACAATAAATGGTGACACGTTGACAACAGAGTTATATAAAAAACCCATCCATAAAATTAAACCAAATGCGCTAGCAATTGCAAGTAAAGGACAAAATAAACCTGAAAAATATATATATAATTATAATTTAAATTATAATATTTTATAAGGAAAAAATTTGTTATCAAAGACAAGCAAATATGTTATCGTTAAATTTATTTTATATCACTGAAGTTTCACTTAATTGATAGTTAACAGTTATTGATCATTTAATTGATAGTTAACAATTAAACTATCAAAGTATAAACGGTTGAAATATTCGGCAGATTGTCTACAGTAATGAAAAAGCCTAAATAATAGTGATAAATAAAATAAAATTAATAATAATAGTAGGATGGTGATATAGGGTGATATTAACTTGTATGAGTAATATTTGATAACAAATGAAGATATTTGTTTAAAGGTATGAAAAGAAAATTATTTAATAAAATGAAAAGAAAAAACTTTTAAATTTTAGAATAAATCAAATATTTATCATTAACCATTTAACTTATAATGTTTCGTAATTACTTATCAATGATAAAACGTTGAAGTGATATCTTGGTGATAAAATGAACGTTGAAGTGATATCTTAGAGTTTAGAAATGTTGAAGTGATTGATATCTTGGGATTCAAAAAAATCATTCCTTACATCTATTTCAAATTATTTCTAAAATTAACGAACGAATAATGTAGATAAAATGAATGTTACCAGCTAGTGCAATTGCTGGTTTACTACGCACCCAGTCGATTGCAACAAAGCCATCATCATGTCTGTGCAAAACAATTGCGCTTAATGCGCAAAGTGAAAATAGAACAAAGCAAGTTATTGCAAATTTTGGCAATAATGAATCGGCAACTTCTTGTAAACCTTCCGATAAGCTTTCATTATGAAACATACCGAATTCCAGAATGTCTACAAAAATTAACACCTGAAAATCTATTTAAAAATATTTTTACGAGTGTAGTTATTTTTTCTTTTATTGATTATGCTGCGTAATTCAATAGATTTGATGTACAGCGTTCCGGAAAACGGACGTAGCATGGAATTCCGGAAAAATGGATCATGTTTTGTTAATTCCTGAAAGAACTATTTTAATTGCTGCATCTTGTTGGCTTTGCTGCTAAAAGTAAAATTGGCCACTACCATCTTAATTTGTTAAATATGCACTCGTAATTCTTTTGTTTAAAGAGCATAATCCGGAAATGTAAGATGCAAGAGGAAGCTTAACATACCGGATGCTGGCTTCTTGACGTTAGATAAGAAATCGGTAACCTTTTTACGCCACAAATAACTGATATTACCAACTTTTTCATCACGAACGTTATAGGTTAGTCGAACAGCTCGGACGTAATTGAAATGACCTTCCTGAAAGTAATTTTACAAACGCTCAAAGTGTGCAATTCAATCTGCGACATAAATTTCAATCGTGTAATGTAGAACTGATAACATAATTAAACAGAATACATCAATCAAGTATATATATATGTCATAGGTCAAAAAGCAATTACCGCAATGAACTAATTAATAATTGATGTCATTTTGGCTCATGTAGTTTGAGGCAATAGTTAAATTATTTCATAATTGCGTTAAATATTTAAAACATTAGTCCAGGCCTCGAATTAGATTTTGAACTATACCGAAAGGACTAAGCCTAAAGGCTAATCTGACCCTCTTAATCATCACTTTTATTAATGAATATAAATTTTAACAATATACTTCATCGATAATATGCGGTACGCTTATCAATGCACCAAAATAAATTGGTTCAGTTCCACGCCAACCAATTGGATAAGTTATTTTAACCTGTAGAAATATATTACTCATAATAAATCGTCTTTATAATTAATAATATGTTGACAATTTCAGGCAATGATGTCTAGTGCGTACGTGTGCTAACACAAAGCACACGTGCTTCACGTATTACCGAAGAATGAGAAAATGAATTGCGTTGGAAAAAGTATGAAAACTACGAAATGAATTGAACAGTTTGAAAACGCTCCAATATTATAAGAAAAAGTGATATATCTATATTAATTCAAATTAAAAAATTAAATGACTTCTGAGCTGTCAACTTGATTAATGTTAGCAAGCAAATTCAATTTGAAATAATTCATGCCAGCTAGTATGCTTGAATAAATCAAAGTTAATGAATTCCATTTATTAATATTTAAATAAATTCATCTAATTAGGAATTGATTAAAATGATGAAAAGATTGTCGTACCTCATTAGTGATAATATCATCAGTGAATTCAGCTAATTTTGGATCAAAATTTCCCCAACGTTCTTTAGGCATAAGCATTGTCACATGCTCATTCATAAAACATTTCCAATCATATGACATACATAAATCGGTAAAACCAATTTCATATGTCATACTATTATGTGTTACTGATATTGTAATATTATGAATAATATACTGAAAATAAATCAAAATTTTACAATCATTATTTATCCTTAAATTAGTCTAAATATTCTTTTATTAAAATTAACATATCATTAAATATTAATTGCTATATATTACTGATAATTGATTACAGTGATGATATGATGATAGTGTTATTTGATTAATTGGTAATGAATTATGACAACATATTTCGAGAAATGATAATGAATTACATTGAAACAATGTATATTTTTCTTTTGTTAATTGTCATTTTAAATGATCAATTTGAAGAAATTAATTTGTACTAAATTTATAAATAATTAGAGAAATACCTGATTGATTCGTTCTAACTCATCCAAATATTTCATCACTAACATATTTGGTCGTCCAAATTTGGGATGTTTTATTCCAGCAACAATAATGTCAACATATCCTGTATAGTCATAACTTTTCCCAGGCCAGAATTCTTGCTCATTTAAAGGCCAATGCTCACTTAAAATTTTTTTCTCATATCGCCATTGTGCATTTTTCGGTGAGAACACATATTCCGGATCGATTGTCGTCTGTAAGATTTCATTTTAATACCCAAAAGAATTATTGATTGTAAACTGACATTGTTGCAGTATGTTGAAATCAATTAAATTGATCCCTATGTAATTATCTCATTTGATAACTTCTCTTAATTTAATTTTATATAGAACTAAAATAAGAATGAAATAGTTTCAATTAAAATGATACTCCTTTGTTCAACAATTATGTGTAAATTTTTATTACAAAACAAGTTTACCTGTTTTTTGATAAACAATAATCCAAAGCCAAGAGCTATTGTCAGCATGATTGGCCCAATAAATAAAGCAAATCGAGAGCGATAAGCAATGAAACCCCATCGATAAAATAATTGTTGTATAAGATTATCAAAAGATAGAGCCATTGATTTATCTAAATTTTTTATCTTTAATTGAATCTAAAATTGTAAAGCCAAAGAATATCATTATAGCAAATATATAATTTAATTCTTCGAAACACATTATCGTATGGATGAAGTAATTTCAATATCGCACCAAAGCAAAACAGAAAATTTTGTAATTTTGAAAATATATACAAATAAATAAATTCTAAAATGCGGCATTTAATTGATGCGATGATCGCAATCGTAAGAAAGAAATTTGTGAAGATATTGAAAATGCCACTACACGAAATCCATTTATTGAATGGCTGAATTATCCATACGCACTCGATCGAAGTGATCACATATCGCTCGATCGAAGTGACAATGGCGATGACACAAGGAGAAACGATAACGATGGTGGTGGTGATGTTGGATAACTGCACTGAAGAAAACCTGAACAAAAATAATTCCTCTTTTATTTCATCCAGTAATTGAAAAGAACATAAATAGTTATTAATGCTGCATTTATCAAATTACTATTAATGATATCACTATCATTAATGTCAATCTTATCACAATCATCATTCTTTTACAATTCTAACCTAAAACCTAACTAATCATACCGCTATTACTAATTGTTTTGTTAAAATATTTAATATTAATTTCAAAAATATCGCTTATATTTATTAAATATTTTGGATTGGAAAATTTTGATATAACTCTTAAAAAGTACGGTTTTAGCAAATTTGAGGATGAAAAATTAGTTGGCAGTAATATTATTATATATCCATTTGAAAATTAATACTAATACTTGAATATCAATGCTCTCTACAGGTGTTTTTTGTTATTACAAACGTGTGATTGGTATATAATCAGATATTTTATGCAAATGATCTTCGAAAGATTTTCTTCAAATTCTTCATTATCACTGAATATCAGTGAAATATTGCTTACTTTTTATATCCGTTAGATTTCAAATTTTATATTTTAGCATTTAGCAATCTTTTGAAACTACTATTGATTACTATAAATTATAAATCTTATTGTTATCACTATTATTATTATCATTGTTTTCTCAGCTACTAATACTTCATATTACATTTTGCTTTTTCTAAGGCGTAAAAAAATGAGAATGATCGTTTCGTATCAGAAATACACACCTATCTCTCTTCTCTTCTTTTCGCCAATATCTCTTTTCCTCTTCATTCCAACTTATTCTTCATTAACTCTCATGTATCCCATAGATCTGAAACTTGTTTTTTTTTTAATTGATAAATTGATAAATTCAAATAGCGCAATTTGTTCTCATTCATTAATTCAACAGATTTATCGGTGACATTTATGCTTTCTTAAATTATATGAAATTATCATCACTCTCTCATATTTTATTAAAATTTTAAAATCTTTGAAATATTACAGTGTTGCGTTGATTTCTTTTACATTTAATGAGCTTGCAGAAGTTTGAATATTATCGGATCGAAGGAAGAAGATGAAGAAGAAATAGATGAAATGTAACTGATGACAATAATTTGTTGCTACCATAAAAAATTGATGATAGTAATTTGTTGCCACCATAAAAAATATTCAATTATTTAAAACAATACACCGAACACTCAGATTGCTTAAAGAAGAATTTTTTTTCAATAAATAATTTTTAAACATTATTATCAATTGAAAATAAATAATGATTTTAACAATGATAAAATAATGATAAATTAAAATAATGAAAATAATGATCAAAATGGAATAAATTAATAATCATATTAAATTTTTTAAATGAATATAAAAAAACTTTTCAGTGATTTCATAATTGCTAGCAAATATGTAAATTGAAATTCGTTGCTTAAACAATTATTTGAAATACTTTACCAATAATCCGGGAAATAACTCCTCTGTCACTTTTTAGTAAGAATCCCCTTTTAAGGGGATTCTTTAAGGGAGAGATACAATATGACATATTTCAACCAACGGATAGGAAATATTTTCCTGTTGTAGAAAATAAATCATATCGCTTCTATTATTTGCGACAACTCATTCCCATGAGCTATATTGTTTGCTAGCTATATTATTCATTGACATTTCTCTTAAATTAATTTTTCAATGCTAACAAATATATTTATTGAAAAATTTTTTTATCAGTAATTTCAACAAAAAGTAATTAAAATAAATCATGCAAATATCAAATTTTTCTTTCCTATGAAAATTAATTATTATTAATTAATGAAATTAAATAAATTATTCATTAAATTGCAAACAATAAGTTTAACTTTAATTTTAATAAAAATTATTTAAGTAGTAAATGTTGAATTATTCGTCGTTGAAAATATTATTATCATTTGTTTATTTTATCCTAAATTAAGTTCACAAGTTTGTTTACTAATAAATTGTTGATAATTAGTATTTTTTTGAGTATTTGAATTTTATTCCATTCTTTGTTGTTTATTACTTTTATATGATCGGTATGAAAGAAATTTTAAATTTATGAGTATCTTTTTTGTTAACTTTTGCAACATCTAACTGATCCAATGTGCAATTTATTCTTCGGTTAAGGAAAAAATCTACAACAGTATATGACGAAGTGAGCTATGAAAT